TGCGGCTCTCCGAAAAAACCGACTTGATTCCACAGTGGTCGCTGCGCCTTGAGTTAGAGTTTTTACGCGGTTCATTTAATGACATCCCCAAATTTGGTTCTTCCCAGTTGCACACTTAGAGGGAAATTCGGACAAATCGAATCAACGTCGCTCTACCGTGGTTCTTCAAGGCTCCGTTGCCGCCTTACTTCTTTCATTCATCTACCACTTCCACTCCTTTTGCGAACCTTTTTTCGTAGATGACTTAAAGTTTTGCATTTTAAGCCTCACCATACTTTAAATGGTGACAAAAGCGCCAACAAAAGAAAACCATACAAACGACTTCTTTCGAATTAACCTGTCATAGTCTTGCTTTTCTGCGAACCGACTTCTTCATTAGATCCTTCATGATACAACTATCTATTTTCCTCCGTTTCGATTTACATGTATCCTTGAATGTCCAGGATTCACCAGCTTGTCTAACGATGTAATTTTGATGAGTCCACATGCTTAGTGTGATACTTTTTCTCTTGCTCGAATTTTGATTGTCACAACTATCTTACCTGTATATGCAGCACATTTCCGATCTACTCGTACTGTAATGCGTGATGCGGGAATCGCCTATCTTGTTCCCATGGAAGTACTTGCCCCTCACTTCATCAAACATTAGATGAGGTTAACTTCGAAAGAGGCTTGTGGTCAGCCGCCTTGATGGGCGATGATACTCGTGTGGCATTTTTGATCAAGCGACATCCCCAGCGAATTAATGACACCGACAAATACGGCTACACTGCTTTGGTAAGTGAAGTTGTCTTCCACCTATGCCGAACCCTCTCACCTTAGTAGCACTACGCAGCCCGTAATAACCGCCTGAGGACATGTCAAATTTTGCTACAATCCGGAGCGGGTCTTTTTGCCCGCACACGGTCCGACCGGGCCACAGCGACACACCGAGCAGCCTTTTGTGTTTGCCTCGGTGTACTTGAAGAACTGCTAAAACATGGTGGTGAGAAGTTGGCCACGTTTACAGACAACGAGGGACTTTCTTGCCTACATTCGGTTAGTTTGTCTCATGTTCCCCATCTTGTCGATCGTTTTTCCTGTTGCCTAGAGGTGGCTCGCATTAGGCAAAGTTTATCTGAAATGATTTATTGGTGTGGGCGTTATGATTTACCTCAACAAGCCTAATTGCTCCAGCTGTGCTGTGAGTTCTAGGGGCGCGAGTGCAACCAGTATGACCATAGCTACTTTTTGGCCCACGGGTAACATCCTTCCATTATTGATGGAAGGTATATTTGACAGTAATCAAGCATAATGCTACTCAACGGAAAATCTGCTGCCTTTTTGTAGT